AGCGATGTTTAAAGGATCCTGATTGGCTGGCTCAGCTATTCATCAAACACGTGAGGCTTGAGAGGGTGGGGCTTAGGGGGAGGGGCTTGGCGATGTGTCAGGGCTCTCTGGAGATGTGCCCTCCCTCCACACCCACTCTACTCTCTTCAATGTTATGCCTGTTAGGAGCGCCGGCTGCATATGTATGTAGTGTACTGTCAGAATAAGCCCAAGTCGGAGTACGTGGTGTCAGAGTTTGGGGACAGCTACTTTGAGGTCAGTGGCTGAGGTGCCTTGGGGGAAACAGGACAGAATCAGCATGAGCAGGCTTTCCAGGCTGCATAACCGTCGTGTCCCTGTCCCCAGGAGCTCCGACAGCAGCTGGGGCACCGCCTACAGCTCAATGACCTCCTCATCAAACCTGTGCAAAGGATCATGAAATACCAACTCCTGCTCAAGGTCAGGACCACCTTGTCCCTGGGAGCATAGCCCACTGGTGTGGCCGTGTTTCCTCATTCATCTCCCCAGGGTTCTTAGGGCTTCCTCAGACTTCCTGGGGGTCCTTACCTGTGTCCTTAGGGGAGGATGTGGAAGCTTCTGAGAATGTCCTCATGACCTCCTTGAACATTTCTTCTCCATGTCTTAGGATTTTCTCAAGTATTACGGTAGAGCTGGGATGGATACTGAAGAGCTGGAGGTGAGGACTCTCAGATCTTCCAGGATGTACCATGTATACCTTATCCTCTTAGTCCTGGGGGTTTCCCCAGCCCCTTGGGTGGTTTAGAGCTGTTTGGTTTTTCGGGGGAGGCTGGCTGGGGTCAAGACATGGTCTGAAGAGGCAGCTGGCTGAGGGGGCCTCTTTCCCAATAATGACTGTCTTTGCCCAACAATGCTTTTCTTTACCTGTGTCCCAGCAAGCTGTGGAGGTCATGTGCTTCGTGCCCAAGCGCTGCAATGATATGATGACTCTGGGGAGACTGCGGGGATTTGAGGTATGGAAATTGGCCAGGAAACTGGTGGCCCAGTGCTGTTCTGTCCTAGTCTCAGCACTCTGGGGGTTCTTATGGGGAATTATTTTCTCCTCGGGCCGACCCCATGGTTGGTTGGGAGTGTCAGGGGATGGAGGGAGGAGCAGGGAGTTGCCCTTTTTCTCTCCTTCTTTCTCGAAGGCCGCTATCCTTTGGTTCCAGGGCAAACTGACTGCTCAAGGGAAGCTCTTACGCCAGGACACATTCTGGGTCACGGAGCCCGAGGCTGGGGGGCTGCTCTCTTCCCGGGGTCGAGAGAGGCGCGTCTTCCTTTTTGAGCAAATCATCATCTTCAGTGAGGCCCTGGGAGGAGGAGTGCGAGGTGGAATGCAGCCTGGATATGTGTACAAGAGCAGCATCAAGGTGGGCAGGGGACCATGAGGGAGGGCTCTGATGGGTGGGATGAGGCCTCTGAGAGAATGTCTGGCTCTCAATTTGTTGGGATGGGGGCAGGAACCAGAGGGGGGCTGATGAATCTGGGGCTGTCTCCTATTTGTCTATTCAGGTGAGCTGTCTGGGACTAGAGGGGAACCTCCAAGGTGACCCTTGCCGCTTTGCACTGACCTCCAGAGGGCCAGAGGGCGGGATCCAGCGCTATGTCCTGCAGGCTGCAGACCCTGCAGTGAGTCAGGCCTGGATCAAGCAAGTGGCTCAGATCCTGGAAAGCCAACGGGACTTTCTCAATGGTGAAGCTCTCATCTTCCCTCCCCCACATGCCCTTTCAGCCCTTTGACCTCCTGAATCTCTCACTGCCCAGTCTCCAACCCCTGCTCTCTAACCCTGACTTTTCCCTTTCCCCTTTTATCCCCACTAGCTCAAGATGTGGTAACTCAGAATCCACTAAAGCCCCATGCAATTTACATTGGCTGACAGTCCTTAGAAGGGAAGGCAAAATGGGAGGATGGCACAAGCAGAGCCCCTAGGGAAGGGACCTGTCTGCTGTAACCCTCCTTTCTTTTCCTCTTTGCCCCAGCATTGCAGTCACCCATTGAGTACCAGAGACGGGAGAGCCAGACCAACAGCCTGGGGCGGACAGGAGGGCCTGGGGTGGGGAGCCCTGGGAGAATTCGGCCTGGAGACCGAGCCCAGGTCAGCACATACACACCCATCAATGGCTCTCTCCCCTCCCTGCTGCTGTTGCCCAAAGGGGAGGTGTCCAGAGCCTCCTTGCCCCTGGACACACAGGTATGAGGGATAAAGTCCCCTGGTTGTAGGGGCTGGATGGGGAGGGCCTTTCTCATTCTGGGATCCCTAAATCTCCCTCCTCCATATCACTCCTTTCTTCTACCACCTTCCTTTTGTCTGCACCTTCCTACTTCCATCCCTTACTCTCCTTCCTTCCAGTTTAACTCTGGGAGAAGCTGATAGTCTCAGATAGTCTAAGATATCTGGCAAGAGGAAGTAGCTTGGCTAGGGGCTCATACTGAAAAGAGGAGTGAGGGTGGTTTCCTGACCTTTTTTGATCCTCTGACTTAAATCTTTCTTCAGGCCCTCAGTGAAATCCCCCAGGCTCCTCATGACTCTCCTCCAGTCCCTCCAACTCTGAACACCCCTCCCTGCCAGGCAAGACTTGCCAAGCTGGATGAAGATGAGCTGTAACTGTTGAAGGCCATGGGGGTGGTGTTGACTCAGCTACCTGTTCTCCAAGGAGCTTCAGGGCAGACCTTCTGGCACCACTCCAGAATTCCTCCCTCTTGTGTGTCTGGAGGGTGGGCAAGGCTGGGAATGATATCAACTTGGAGGAGAGTACCTAGACCCAAAAGGACTTCTTTCTACCCAAGGAACACAATTTCCTTCAGCTCCCACCCCTATGCATGCAACACAGTCCCCCCAAAAGGAGGATATGTGGGTGGGCAGGAGGGCTGGGGCAGGGGCCAGATAGAAATTATTGGTTTTGTTTTTGATTTTGTTTTTCCTGTTTTCTGAGAATAAAGGTTTTGTTATATCACTCAGGCTGCTGTCTTGGCAGAGGGAAGGGGAGGCTGTAAGTGGGGGTAGATGGGGTGAAGTGCTATAGAAGAGATCAGCTGGCCCCAGTCAGTTGAGGAGGGGTGAGGTGAAAGGAGAAGGGCACAGGGTGTAAGATAAAAGATGTTGATATCTTTGTCCCTCACCAGCAGTTACAGTGTCTCTCAGCCCAGACCTGGGGCTTTGAGGCACTGGAAAACCCTAGATCCCTGATGTATCCTCCCCTTTAACCAGCCCTTCTTTCCTTCCCATCCACCCTCCAGTCCAGACCCCACCAGAAAGCCCAGTGTAGTGTGACTCCCCATCACTCTCCCAACGTCCAGATACTAAAACACAAAATGCCCAACATACCTCTCCTTCTGAGGCTTCCATGTTCAGCTGAGGGAGAATGGGATAGTGGAGAGAATCCTGGGAGCTGTGGTGCCTTCCTGGCTCTGGGTTTCCTTATCTTTGCTGTCTGGGCGGTCATAAAGTATGTCCATACTGAGCCGGAGGGATTCTTCTTCAAACCACAGATCCAGGAGTGTAGGGTCTGAGAGTCACCACCCTTCTCAACCTCTGAGACAGCCCCTGGAACAGAGAGCTAAACATGCAGAGATCCATGCCCAGATGCCCTGTCCTGGGTCCCTGTGCATCTGTGTGTCCACTGTGTCCATTTGTCCCCTGGGCTCGGTCACGTGCACTTGGGCTTCCTCAGCAGACAATAGACTGCTGGGGTGGGAGGGTGAGGAGGAGCTGGATCCTCCCTGAGGAACCCGAGGTCCCTCTGCCCGACAATGGGGGGAGGGATCTGTAAGGAGGGGGACAGGACGTAGGGCCCAGATAAGACTTCTGGGGAACAATAGGAGGAATTGAAGAGAGGAGACCCGCCCTCACTGTACCGCACCCCCAGAGCTTTGGGGTCAAGGGCAGGGGGACCAGAGGGTGCTGGGTAGGGGTGCAGAAGATTCTTGTGTATGGAGGAGGGGATAGTGGCAAATAGGATTCTAGAGCTCAGAATCTTTGTATTTCTTTAGGGACTGCAGGGATACATGAGGTGGGTGGGTGACCCCTTTGTACTTGGTTTAACCACATATTTGTATGTATTTTTGAGGGCCTACTTTGTGAATAGCATTTTTTGTTTGTTTGTTTTTAAAAAAAGATGACCGGTAAGGGGATCTTAACCCTTGACTTGGTGTTGTCAGCACCACGCTCACCCAGTGAGCTAACCGGCCATCTCTATATGGGATCCAAATCCAGGGCCTTGGTGTTATCAGCACCACACTCTCCCGAGTGAGCCACGGGCCGGCCCTGTGAATAGCATTTGAATGTAATAAATAGTGCTTCAGTTTTTTTTGGCTCCTAAGAAATAAAATCAGTTCAGTATTTACCCTGAGGCCCTGCACTAGGCCCAGCCACTCCCTGCAGAGGTGTGGGGCAGTGGTTCTCTGTCCATTTCTCTGTCGGATACATGTAGCTCCTTCCCATCTTAGTAGTTTGTGAAAATGCTGAGGCCAATAGAACCCCTAAAACTTTCTTGGGGCAAACTGTGCCACATGAACATTTGGATCTGGGATGGGGTCTAATGGGTACTGAACTTTTTTGCTCTGGTGAGGAGAATTCAGCGGCTCAGGGAAGAACCAATGATCCAAGAGGAGCCAGCTTCTGTCTCAGTCCAAAGTGCAGATGGGGAAATGAACCGGGAGTGAAGAGGTGGGATCAAAAGGCTTAGGAGTGGTAAATAGTGGGTGCTGGGTGTTGGGAGTGCGCTCGTCTTTTGACCTATCTCTGATTTCTACACCTTTCCACAGCCACCCCCCATAGCAGGCCCCAGAGCGAGCGATCCCATCCGGCCAAGGATGTCTGAGGGAACGCCTAACATAGAGACTCTTCCTCCCCAAGCCTCAGCTCTCGCCTGACCGAGAAGGTCCCCAAGAGAGGGCGCCCTCCAAGGCCGATTGGACCCTGCTTCATGGAGGCGGGACTCAGGCTAGCGGGCGGAGGGGTATTTAAGCTCCGGCGGAGTTGGAGGTGGCCAAGGGCAAAATGAGTGGGCTATTGGGCGTTAGGACCTGCCCTGGCCCGGGAGAGACCTCCGACCTTAAGTCGCTCCTGGGCACCAGGTTCAGGGAACCTCTCACCGAGGCTCGGTTCCAGCAGCTCTTCGGCAGCGCAGAGCAGGAGCCTGGGCTACCGGCGGAGCCCCACTTGCCCCGGCTGTGGGGGCTGTGGGGGCGGCGGGCCGGCCCTTGTTCCGGGCCGGGGGCGTGGCGCCTGCTGCTGGCGCGGCTGCCCCCGCTGCGCTGGCTGCCCCACTACCGCTGGCGGGCCTGGCTGCTCGGGGATGCGGTGGCCGGAGTGACCGTGGGCATCGTGCACGTACCCCAGGGTGAGAGGCCCCCACACCAGGTTGTCAGGAGCCAAGCTATAGAGGGCTTCGGGGAGGAGGCGTGGGAAATTGGCGATCCGGAAGCGAGGTGGTGGGTTAGTGTCGCTGGAATTCTGAGAGAGGGACCTGAGACCAAGTGCGGGGTAAAGACTATGGAGCTCCAGCACATCCCTACCCCCATCTCCCCTCATCTGTGCAATCCTGCGAGAAGCCTTGGACACGTGCCGGCTCAAGGAACTGGAGAGAGACGCAACGCCTCTCCCCCAGGACTCTGGGCCGACACGGATCTGTGACCTTGTCCGCCCCACGACCTCCCACCGAGGCCCATTAACCCCTCAGTTCCCTCGTGTAGCACGATTTAGCGTCCTGGATGCCAGCGTCTAAGAGTGTGGGAAGGGGCCGGGTCAAAATCTCCCAACCCCTCACTCACCATATACCTTTCCTTCTACTTCTTCCCCAGGCATGGCTTTTGCCCTCCTGACCTCCGTGCCCCCAGTGTTCGGACTCTACACTTCTTTCTTTCCAGTCCTCATCTACAGCTTGCTGGGTACTGGGAGACATCTGTCCACAGGTGAGTGATGAGGGACTTCCAATGACTCCTCTCCTCCGTGGGGTGAAAATGGACAGGGTTTGAGCCTTCCCTTCTTGTAAGCTCCCTAGCTCTTATTTCCCTCTTCACCTCTCCCGCCTTCCCTTCCCTCCTTGCTGCAACCCTACCTGGAAACACTGACTTAGGCAGTGCTTGCTGGAGTGGGTGCAAACAGGTGGGAGTTTACTTGTTGTTTTTCTCCCCGCGAAATTTGCTTAAAATGAACATCTGCGGGACTTGGAAAGGGAAGAAGAGATGCACTATGCCCCAAAGAAGCACGCAGCCGGCAGGGAGTCTCAGGAGGAGGCAGTTTTTACCCACTGGAGGGCCCTTCTTTCTTCCCTCCCCGCCAGTTCTCTGCTGCCGCACCGGCTCGTGGCCCCACGGTCCTCATGGAGGCAGCAGCCTTCTAGGAGAGCGGGGTCTGACAGCAGCATTCGGCTGGCCTCAGAGCCCCCAGAACGCGGAGCCTGAGCTGTTGCCCTGCCCTGGGAGCACAGCTGGTCATCTCTGCCTTTGTTTCCTGGTTGCAGGAACTTTCGCCGTACTGAGCCTCATGACGGGCTCAGCCGTCGAGCGGCTGGTGCCCGAACCCCTCGGGGGAAACCTGAGCGGAATCGAGAGGGAGCAGTTGGACGCTCAGCGGGTCGGGACGGCCGCGGCCGTGGCCTTTGGGAGCGGGGTGCTGATGGTGAGGGAGGACCAGTGAGGGCCCTGGGGGATTCACGCTGGGGGCCCCGGGGGAATTGGGCAAGGGGAGAGGGAGGGGCGAGCCTCCCGTCGGGTCCAGGGCAGCGGAGAAGCTGGCGCACTGCGCTCTGCTGGTCTGCTCCTCCTCCTGTTGGTGACTGCGCATTTTCCACCCCGCAGCTGGCGATGTTCGCGCTGCAGCTCGGTGTCCTGCCCACCTTTCTGTCCGAGCCTGTGGTCAAGGCGCTGACCAGTGGGGCCGCGCTGCACGTGCTAGTGTCCCAGCTGCCGAGCCTTTTGGGGTTGTCCCTCACGCGCCAGATCGGCTGCTTCTCGCTCTTCAAGGTGGGGGTGGGAGAACAGCGGAGAGAGGATTCTAGAGGTCCCGGGAAGAGGGAGACTCGAAGAGGGAGGAAGGACGGAGGGAGGGGGAGGGATATTGTGTGACTGGGGGCTGAGTAAGGGAAGTTAGAACCATGTGGCTGAATGAGGGCGCTGCGGAGGTGCCATCTCCTGACGGCAGCGCAGAGGGACTTGCCTCGGCCTGGTGGGTCCGCGCTGGGGGGCAGTCAACCCTGGCACGGGTCCCTGCGCTCACCGCCCCTGCCCGCAGACGCTGGCCGCCGTGCTCACGGCGCTGCCCCGGAGCAGTCCGGCCGAATTGACCGTCTCGGCGCTCAGCCTGGCGCTGCTCGTGCCGGTCAAGGAATTGAACGTGAGATTCCGAGACAGACTACCCACCCCGATCCCAGGGGAAGTCGTCATGGTGAGGATGGCCCCGAGCCGGGCACAGACCCTGCCCATCCTGTAGGAAATGGCCGCTGCCGCCCCCTTGTGGAATGCAGAGAGGTCACAGACGAGAAGTCCTGCTGAAACACGTACTTTTCCAGGCCTCCTCCCCAAACAATTTGATCCTCCAGATTCCCCGCCTGCACGTTCCCACTTCTCTCACGGAGCCCCATCTAGCCCCTCAGAATGCTTGCTTTCTCCCTACACCGGTCCCTTGCTTCTGTCTCACTGGCCACAGCACCTCCTCTCACCTCTCTCCTCACTGGGTCTTTTTCTGTAATTCAGTGTATCTATTCCCCCCACCCCACCCCCCGCCACCCCCATTTCTCTCTCTCCGACTAAATAAATGTTCCGCGTCTTCACGGATATCCCATATATCCTTACATATAGTCCAGCTTCCCTACTTAGAATGGCTCACTTGCACCTCTTCATATCCAGGACCTCGTAGGAGCCCCCACCCCCCCTTCCCCATCCATCTCTCTCCATAGTCCCAGGTATACATTATTCCTCTTTCCCATACCCACACTCCTTCACTCTAAATCGGTTGCCCGCACCCATCCCAAACACATTGCAGCTCCCCCAGCTGTTGGGCTCTTGCCACCTTCTAGTCCTTCATTATGATCCTCTCTCTGCTGAGCCCCTTCTGCCAGGGGCCCCATGACTTAATTTGCTCTCTTTCCCAGGTGCTTCTGGCCTCTGTGCTCTGCTTCACCTCTTCCCTAGACACAAGATACAATGTCCAGATAGTGGGGCTGTTGCCTGGAGGGTAAGAGAGACTGAAAAGACACCAACTTTCTCTTCTCCCACCTCTCCACCAACATCTCCTCTTGTCCTGCCCCGCCCTATTTCCTCTGCCCTCCCTATCTCCTCGCAGCACCCAGCCCATCCTCACCACGGACCCTTCCTTCTCCAGATTTCCCCAACCTCTCCTCCCCAACCTGGCTGAGCTGCCCAGGATTCTGGCTGACTCGCTGCCCATCGCGTTGGTTACTTTTGCTGTGTCCGCCTCCCTGGCCTCCATCTATGCAGACAAGTATAGCTACACTATTGACTCCAACCAGGTGTGACTCCAATGGCAGACCCCAACCTCATTCAAGAAACAACCCTCTAGGGCCGGCCCGTGGCTCACTCGGGAGAGTGCGGTGCTGATAACACCAAGGCCCCGGGTTCGGATCCCATATAGGGATGGCCGGTTAGCTCACTTGGGAGAACGTGGTGCTGACAACTCCAACTCAAGGGTTAAGATCCCCTTACCGGTCATCTTTTTAGAAAAAAAAAAGAAACAACCCTCTAGTCTGACTCCCTTTTTGCCTTTGTCTCTCTCCTCATCTCACTGCATTTCTCTAGGAGCTTTTGGCGCACGGTGCCTCCAACCTCATCTCCTCCCTCTTCTCTTGCTTTCCCAACTCAGCCACGCTGGCCACAACCAGCTTACTAGTGGATGCTGGTGGGAATACACAGGTAAGGAGGCATCCTTGCACGAGGAGAAAGGATGGGACATTCAGGCCAGGGTGGTGGTAGTGGAGAAACAGGTGGAAGATTGGTAGATACCCAGGTGGCATCTATATAGAGGAGGATGGGAATCTGCGAGAGAGGGTGCACGAGGGGATAGGATTATCTAGATGAGAGAGAAGATAAGGTTCCATTAAGACCTTTGTAGGCTCTAAGCACTAAAAAAGTTTATGGTGCCTCAGATGTAGTTCAAAATAAAAATGATACTAAACTATAAATTAAACTTGAGACAAAATTCTGTTTTTTTTTCCCCATGAGGACATGTTTTAAAAGAAAAATCATATATCCAAGTCTCCCCCTAATATTTTTTGGTTTTCCTTACTTTGCTGGTACCCTAAGCATGTGGCTAGCCTGCTTATAGGGTAATCCAACAGTGGCTTTTAAGGTGGAGGTGGGCTACAAAAATAGGGAACTTACACTACATACACCTAGGGAGAGATTGATGAATGATAGGTGTTTAATTGGGGGAAGGGGAGGGGTAGGAGTGAATGGCGGAATATCAAGAAGGAGGTTGAGGAGTGAGGAATATCTGTGTGGAAGGAGGTTTGGGAGGAGGGAGACTTCCAAGGAAGATGAGGCAGAGTGGGCAGGGAGACCAGCCCTCACACGGAGATGGGAGAGGTTTCCTTCCTTCCTTGCTTCCATCCCTCCTTCCTGTCAGCTGGCAGGCCTCTTCTCCTGCACAGTGGTCCTGTCAGTGTTGCTGTGGCTGGGGCCCTTCTTCTACTATCTGCCCAAGGTAAGGAGCAGAGGTGGCACGGGCATGGCTGGGAGAGGTGGCTATATCCCAGGACATTGGGGTAGTCAGCCTGCCTCCTCTGCCCCAAGGCTGTCCTGGCTTGCATCAACATCTCCAGCATGCGCCAGATGTTCTTCCAGATGCAGGAACTCCCACAACTATGGCGCATCAGCCGCGTGGACTTTGTGAGAAATGGCAGCATTACCCCCAGATCGCCCCCTCCCATCTTCCAAGCATCCCCAGCCTCTGCCCTGGACCAAAACTAATTGTCCCGGTCCTAACTTCTGCAACCCATCCACCACCAACACACATACCTCCTAATACCTGTTACTCAGAGATAAGGGAAAGGGTGAGGTTTAACCCCCTTAGACCTGAATATTTGTAACCTAAGTGACACAAGGTCTGGGGTCATTACATATGATGTATATCCTGTTGGATCCATCCTGTCTCTTCCTTCTGTCATGCTGTCTACTTTCTCCTGGGCCATCCTTCCATATCACCTGCCTTGGCAGTCACTGCCCTTGAACCCCGTTCCCTGGCAGTGATGGCCCGGCCTTTCTTCTGGGCAATCCACCTGCTTCTGTGTCTTGCAGGCTGTGTGGATGGTCACATGGGTGGCTGTAGTGACCCTGAGTGTGGACCTGGGCCTGGCAGTGGGTGTGGTCTTCTCCATGATGACCGTGGTGTGCCGCACCCAGAGGTGGGCACAGAGATGAGCAGAGTCAAGATGAGGGGAGGGGAGAGAACAGGGTGCTTGGGGTGACTCTCCAGTGAGGCTAGGCTGGGAATCTGACCCCATCTTCTTCCCTAGGGTGCAGTGCCTGGCTCTTGGACTGGCTGAGGGGACAGAGCTCTACAGGCCACTCAGAAAGAACCACAAGGTGGGTGGGCTACAGCCAAAAAAGGAAAGGAAGATTAGACCTGCTGTTTTTCTTTTTTCTTTTTTTTTTCTTTTTGTCTTTTTTCGTGACCGGCAACGGATCGCAACCCTCAGTGTCGCGCCCGTACCGGACCGGGACCGGCAACGGGATCGCAACCCTCGGTGTTGCTCCCGCGCCTCACTCAGCCAGTGAGCGGCCGGTCTGTATGTGGGATCCGAACCCTCGGCAGGAGCGCCGCTGCACCTCCCAAGCAGCGCACTGTAGCAGTGCGCCACCGGGCCGGCCCAGACCTGCTGTTTTTCTGACCCTCTGACTCCTTAGCTCCTCCAGGTCCCAGGGCTCTGCATCCTGAGCTATCCAACACCACTCTACTTTGGGACCCGTGGACAGTTTCGCTGTACCCTGGGGTGGCATCTGGGATTTGGAGAAGCAGGCAAGGTGAGGGAGCTTGGTCAAGGCAGAGTGTGGCTCCTCTGGGAGTGGGAGGAAGGTGGGTGTTCTGAGGGGGATCCTTGTGTTCAAGGGGTACAGGGTCATGCTTGTGTCTTGGGGGTGGTGACTGCCCTTCTCTACTTATAGGAGACTCGAAAGCCAGATGGCCCACCTGACACAGGTGAGATGGGATTATAAGGAGGGAGATTTGGGCACGACCCACAGAAGCATCTGGATACTCCTGCCTTTTCCTATCCTAGTTGCTGAGCCTGTCAGAATGGTGATCCTAGACTTCAGTGGTGTCACCTTTGCAGATGCTGCTGGGGCCAGAGAAGTGGTACAGGTGAGGGAGAGGGTAGGTTGAGGGGAAACCCCTTAACATCCCACTCATACCTTCTGATTTGGATTTAACTCGTCTCCTCCTCCCCCGCAGCTGGCCAGCCGATGCCAAGATGCTGGGATCCACCTTCTCCTGGCTCAGTGTAATGGTGAGAGGTGTGGAGGATGGAGGGGCCCAGCAACAGGGGAATGACTGGACATTTGGAGGAGGGAAAGGACACGATGTGGACGTAAAGCCTGAGAGCCTGACACCCTCACCACACAGCCTCAGTGCTGGGGACACTGACCCGGGCAGGACTCCTGGACAGAGTGACCCCAGAACAGCTGTTTGTGAGTGTCCAGGATGCAGCTGCTCATGCCCTGGAGAGACTGGTAAGGGGGCAGTAACATCAGGAGTGAGAGCCAGGAAGTGCTGGGCTAAAGCAATTGAGGTGTGGGTGAGTGGCTGAAGATCCAGAGAGAGGGATTTGGGATGGGGGCTGAGGAGGAAAATCAAGAAGGAAGGGGTGGATTTAAGACCAAACCAGGGAGACTAAGCCAAGCTATGGGTGAAGAACTAAAGAGGTGAGGTCCCAAAGGGAGTGGCATGCCCCTCAAAGTACTGCCAATCTCAGGCAAGGGAGAGGGGTAGCCATATTCCCAACTAATCCACTTTCTTCTTCAGGAGCTCACCGGCCCAAAGATTTGCACAGTGTGGGTCTGACCTGGTCACTTGGAGTGTGGAGGGCCCCAGCAATGTGTGAGGAGGGCCATGGCTTCTGAGTCCCCTTTCTTAATGTAACTGATAAAGTGAAGCTGAATGCCTCTGGAGTCCATGAAGTGAGTCTGGGTGTCTGCACACGGACCCTGGTGCCCCTTCCTCCGTGCCCACAGCATTGCAGAGACACAACTAAAATGGCTTTCACCATGTGTTCACCAGCCCCCACTTCAGCTCCAGAGTCACAAGTGCTCTCCCTGGGGGTGGGGCTGAAGCCGGTGCACAGAGTCCTGGATCCAGAGATGGGGGCAGAGGGCACAGCCTTGACATTAGTGTTGGGGGAACTTCTCCAACCCCTCAGCCCCAAGGAGATGAGAGAAGAGTGTTTCTCTTTAGGTTCTTAGAGTCCTCCTGGGCTCTTTGGCACTTGGAAAGTGACTTCCCCATTTCCTGCCCCATGAAAATGGGGTGGGGGGAGGACTTGGCACTGGCTGTGGGAGAGGTTATGGCTCCATCAGGCCCCTGGGTGCTTGCAGAAAGGAGGGGTGTCACCAGGACAAGCCCCTATTTGGGATCAGGTTATGAAAGGAAGGGGTGAGGAACTAGGGAGTAAGGACAGTCAGTGGGATGCTCACTGGGTGGTGGAGTTTGCTTGAAGTTCCTGGCAGGGACAAGGAGACAGGCCCAGCCTGACAGTCGGAAAGCCCCGGTGGCCATCACTCTGAGGTCATGCACTGCAGCCGGTGTTTGAAGAAAAGCAAGCGGTGTTTGGCCACTTGGCTTTCGTCCAGTGATCCAGGGTAACGATACCGGGCATAAGTCTCTGCCCCGGCATCCCTTGAAGCCCAAGGCAGCTTCAACTTGGATGCATGATCCACTATGACGTCGGAGCAGGAGCCAACCCGAAGGGAACCGAGACCATCCAGGAAGAATTCTGGGGATGGAGGGAAGAGGGGTACACAATGAAAGATCCTGAGGGTGCAGAAGACCAACCTGAAGACCAGCCTGCACCGGAGAGCTGAAATAATAGGGGTATGGATGGTGCGTGTGCAAAGTTTCAGTTTCTAAGGACCATGAGCATGTAAATTAACCCCTCTGGGTCTCAGTTTTACTCCTGTGTAAAATGGAGTCAGTACTTGTCTTGCACTTTGAAAACGGAAAAACCTACCTCCCTACCCGAGAAGTTCAATAAATGCTGGATGGGCTGTCTCCGAGTGTGGTCTGAACCCGGGGAAGCGACTGGGAGTGCAGTAGGGAGGTTCAAGCCCGACCCAGTGGCTGTGCTGGCCGTGGAGATTTAAACGGCACGCAGGGCCTGGAGGGAGTGAGAGCTCTGCCTCTCCCTGGGAGCAGGTTTTGGTAAATCTTCGCATATATGCTCTAGGGGGCCCGGTGGCAGTCATGGGCATGGGCGGGGAGGAGCGGCGGGTGCCCTTGGCGCCTTGCTGCACCGAGCCGCGCCCAGCGCCAGGCCCGGCCGGGAGGAGGCGCCACTCACCCAGGTGTGCCACGCGGCTGAGGCGCGGATCGAAGCCGACCTCGCGCACCTTGTCAGTGCGCGCCAGGAAGAAGTTAACGACGCCATCGGTGACCACGCAGCCTGGGAAGCCGACAAGCTCGTGGTGGAAGCCACGCCTCTGCCGGAGGCAGTTCCCGAGGCCTGGGGCACCGGGCTCCACGGTCAGCATCTGCCGGTAGGTGGTGGCGAAGCCCGAGATCTCGCGCACCGCGCCCCCCACCTGTGGGGAGTGGGAGGATGGCTTCGGGCGGGGCGGGGACTGGAAGCGGGTAGGTTTGGGCTCCCTTTTCCCTCGGGTGGTTTCCATGCCCCATCCTCTTCCGCTTCACCCCTGCAGGACCCCAGCCCCCACTTCGTCGTCCCCTCTCCGTCTCAGGGCTGGCACTTCCAGGCTGCGGCTCCCCCGCCGTCGCCCTAGCCCGTTCAAGGCCCTTCGCCCACCCCACATCCCGCTGCCCCTCCCTTACCAGGTCCAGCGGCGTCCGCTCCAGCACGTCCACAAGCCTCTCTAGCCGCGTCCGCGCCGTGAAGACAAAGTCGTCGTCCACCCACAGCACGTACTTGGTGGTTACTTGGGACACGGCCAGGTTCCGGCCTGCGAACCAGCCCTGGGGGACAAGCGTGTGTGGATGGGGAAGCTGTAAATATAGCACGTGCCCGAACGCCACCTTTCTTTCTCTCCCCGGGCTCCTCTCCACAGCCTGTGCCTCTCTCCAAACTTTGGAGTGTTTCTGAATGGATGGGAGCTAGGTAAAAAAATGCAGATTCCTACCACCACTCCCAGAGGTTCTGAGTCAGTGTCTGGGGGAAGGTCTTGGAATGCATTGAATTCCTCCTGCATTCATTCATTACTTCATTCACTATTCTATTGAGCGCCATAACAAGAATGCAGAGCGAATAAATGGACAAGATTCCTGCTTCCACGGAGCTTACATTCCAGGAATCCTCGTGCTTAACAGGCACTCCGGTGATCCTGAGGCAGCGTGTCCTCGAATCACTGTCCTGGCGGCTGAAGAGCGATAGCGCGCCCCCTCCCCGACTACTTCGGGCGCCGTTAAGCCTTGCTGGCTGCGCACCTTGCCGAAGGGCATGAGATAGTGCTCCACGTGGGGCCCGCTAACGCGCTCTGGCTTGTCACTGTCGTCCGCGATGACCACGGTGACCGTTGGGTAGAAGCGGCGGATGCTGGCGATGAGCGCCCTTAGCCGATCATAACGAAGGAAGGTCTTGGTGGCAATAGTGACCAGAGCGCTGATGTTGTACTGGGCTGAGAGGGAGGGCGTAGGGTTGGGTGCAGCCAAGGAGGGTAGGGAAAGAGGAGCAGGAAGAAAAAATCCCCTCCTAGGGCCGCCCTCTCCCTACGTGCTCCCACCAGTCTCACCTCCCTGGGGTAGAGACCCAGGCGGGTACAGCCGAGGGTTGGGGGGGTGTCTTATGCGGATGGTGAAGGCAGCCTCATGTCCCTCCGTGGAGAACCGGACTGGGAAGAAAGGATGTGGGATTTGGCTCTTAAGGCTGGGACGATATTCTTTTCTTCAGCCAACCAATACTTAAGTACCTACTTTGTGTCCTGCCTTTCCAACTAGAACACATGGTTCTTTTTTTTTTTTTTTAAAAGATGACCGGTAAGGGGATCTTAACCCTTGACTTGGTGGTGTCAGCACCACGCTCAGCCAGTGAGCAAACCGGCCATCCCTATATAGGATCTGAACCCGTGGCCTTGGTGTTATCAGCACTGCACTCTACCTAGTGAGCCACAGGCCAGCCCTAACACATGGTTCTTACCGCCATGAAACTTACATTCAGACAGGTGGGAGAAAGACAATTTAAAAAGGTTTAATTAAAAGCTAACCTTTTGGGCCGGCCTGGTGGCGCACTGCTACAGTGCGCCGCTTGAGAGCGCGGCGGCGCTCCCTCCCTATATAGGATCTGAACCCGTGGCCTTGGTGTTATCAGCACTGCACTCTACCTAGTGAGCCACAGGCCAGCCCGAACACATGGTTCTTACCGCCATGAAACTTACATTCAGACAGGTGGGAGAAAGACAATTTAAAAAGGTTTAATTAAAAGCTAACCTTTTGGGCCGGCCTGGTGGCGCACTGCTACAGTGCGCCGCTTGAGAGCGCGGCGGTGCTCCCGCCGAGGGTTCGGATCCCACATACAGACCGGTTCCCGCTCACTGGCTGAGCGAGGTGCGGGCGCAACACCGAGGGTTGCGATCCCTTGCCGGACACGAAAAGACAAAAAAAAAAAAAAAAGGAAAAGCTAACCTTTTACTGAGCATTTACTACGTGCCAGACACTTAAAAATTACCTTAGATATATGAATTCATTTAATCCTCATGATAGCAGTATTAAGTAGATTCCTACTACAGAAAAAGAAGCTGAGGCACAGAAAAGTAACACAAGTATGAAGCAACACAACTACTAAGCAACAAAGCTGATAAAACCTAATCAGTCTGGGGGCTGGCTGGTTAGCTCACTTGGTTAGAGTGCAGTGTTGCAACTCCAAGGTCAAGGGTTTGGGTCCCCATACTGACTAGCCACCAAAAAATAAAAATAATAATAAAAAAAAGCCACACAAAATCCTAGTCAGACTGGCCTCAGGCTAAGTAAATAAGAAAATCCAGATACTGGCAAGTATTGAACAGAAAATAAGACAAGTAACATCATAGTGAGGAGGAGACATTTGAGCTGAGATCTAAATGACAAGAAGGAGCCAGACATGCAAAATCTGGGGAAGAGCATTCCAGGCAGAAGAAGCAGCAAGTGCAAAGGCCCTAAGGTGGGAGCAAACAGCCTTTGGAGAGAAGCAGGACTATGCTATACCCCTTCTGCTACAGGAGAAAAGGAGTCCCTGGAAGGTAAAGCTCTATGCTCTCTTGTAAGTGGTGGGTTGGGAATAGAGCCTGAGTCTTCTGGCTCCCAGGGGAAGTCATTTCCTGGGGCCCCCATGGTTGGCCTGAAGAGGGGACGCACCCAAGGCTCGGGTTTCCCTCTGGCCTGCTCTGGCCCCAGATGAACAAAGGCCTCTTCTCTCCCTCCCTGGGCCTGCTGGCCTAGTTGAAATGCCCATTGTGTGGCTGGGCAGCTCTGGCCATTGCCTGAGTCCTCCCACGCCCTCTGCCATTTGCCCATTCCAGCCTTTCTGGGTCCACTCTGTTCACCCAGCCTGCCTCTACTTCCACCCAGGCCTCACACCTGTGTCCGCTGTGTTGGCCTGGTAGCTTCTGCTGCTGTAAGTGACCAGTTGCAGCTGCCGGTTGAGTTGGTCTAGCCCTGGGCTGACAAGGGTGAGATCTGGCTGCCCCTCTCCAGTGAGAGTCACTCCAGTCACTTCCCCTGCCACATCCCAGGTGCCCAGGGAGGCAGTCAAGTTCACCTGGGAGAGGAAATTAGAGAATGCAGGGTTAGGCTCTGACCCCCATCCCTCCCTTGGTGGTCCTGTCTCCCTCAGAGCATTCTCAGTATCCACCTGGCCCCCTCACCTTCCTGTTTTCTCTCACCTGGTATACCTCCTGACCAGAAGCTGCCTGCAGGCTCAGCCCTGGGAGGAAGGATGGGGGATCAGAATCACGCAGACAGCCCTGAATTCTTCCTCACTTTCTCTCCGCTCTTTCACCACACACCACACAGAACTTTTCACCCATCCCTCTTGTTGAGACCTCAGCAGGGCACATTGCATAACATAGCCTAGAGTGACTGACTGTTGACTCCTTCCCATCAAAGCAGTATCTCTTCTATGGCCTGTCCTAGCTATCTACCTAATCTTTGATTAGTCAGCAAAGAATACATTCTTCTCCCCAAATCTCCCTAATTAACACTTTTCTGCAATTCCTGACAACCCTAGGGTCCCTTCTGTCCTTACTTCCCACCTAAGCCCCCTTCTGACCTCAAGACCCTCTTTCATCAGAAGTCCCGTCCTCCCATTCCAATCTCCCCTTATTCTTTCCTACCCAACCTCAGACGCCACCCCCATTGTAGCCTAGGACCCTCCTCCCCACCTGGCACCAAGATGCTCCTGAGGGGCTGAACCTCCACACCCTGCAGGGGGTACTGTAAGGGGGAGTTGGCAGGGGCTATGAGCAGCTGGTCAGCTGGGGACTGGCTCCTGGCAGTGGAGGAGGGAGAGGACAGAGGGGGAGTCAGGGGGAGAGGGACTCCCTCCTGGCCCAGCCACCCTCCAGGCTCACCCCCTGCAGAGTCATGCCCTTCTTTCCTGCTGGTACCTCAAAAGGAAGGCCTGGAACTCCTGCTCCCTTGTGGCAGAGGCAGCCCTCAACTCCTCAGGGTCAAAGGCCTTTGTGAGGTCAATGGCTCGGACCTGTCTCTGGAAAGGGAGGGGAAGGCCCCCCCCACCGGACTCACAACTGCAGTTGTTCTGAGCCAACAGCCTGAAGAGGGGAGGAAGGTCATCAGAGCCCAGCCACACAGCTCCATTCATCCTCCAAACCACTTGCACAGATCCCTGCACTTTGGCCCCTCCACTCTGCCCATCCAATATCTGTCTCCTCAAATACTGCTCTTCAAATAGTCCTCCGGAGCGGGGACCGCGGATGGGATGGCCTATCCCCTGAACATGGACTTTATAGAGGTGTAGAATAGGGCCAATTACTAGATATCAGGAGCTGCCTACCCATCCTTCAGGACCCCATCTGAAGTATCTTCTCATGCCTGAATCAGGACATCTGGGAGTCTCTCAGGGTCCTCCCTGACTGCACACCCTCCCATCTCCATCACCAGGACAAAGTTCAGGGAGGACAGGTTTTCCCCCAGCCCAAGCCTCAGCAGCCTCCTCCACTTCCCACTTCATTCACACAACCAGTCAGGAGAGTGCAGGCAGCAGAGCCCAGCAGTGGAGGAAACAAAAGCCCCCCAGACCACCCCCTCCAGAAAGCACTCACCCTACCACTTGCTCCTTGATCCTAACTGGGATGTGTGCGTAGCGGGGCTCGGGGGCAAGGTCTGGCAGCTCGGGCCTGGGGGGGCCCTGTGGGGGCGCCCAGAGCGCAAGAGGTGCCCGGAGGCCCGGCGTGTCCCGGGTGCTCGCGTACAGGAGCCCCAGCGAGGCGCACGCGAGCAGCAGGACCAGCGCGCAGAGGGCCCGGCGGCCCAGCCGCATCCTGGGGTGGGGGTAGGAGGGGAGGTGAGAAAGGGCCAGAGGGAGGCCGAGGGCTGGGGCTCTTGACCCCTGCGATCTCGGAGCCTCCTGCCGGCTCCCAAGGGCGCTCTCCACTGCACACATCGCGCTAGGATTTGCACCGCTAATGGTTTTCCCGGTACCCCCTCCCCTCACTCCCGGGCGGGTCTCAGGGTCCCCGGCCTCCTTTCTTCTCGTCCTCTCCCGCATCTCGGTTTTTCTCTCACACCCGAGGCCTGGCATCCTGGTGCAGGAGACATTGGATGCGCTGGTATCGACGCGGCCGTGCATAAGTAGATAAGCACCGCTTTATTGTAGCAGCGGACGTCCTCAAGCCCACCGCCCGCCCTGGCCGGCGCCCACGCCTTCTCCCTCCCCGGCCCCCTCCCCGCTTAGTTCGAGCATCACCTGGGCCGGGGTGGGCTGCAGCGGGCGGCTCCACACCTTGCCTGTCAGGAAAAACGCAGAATCACGCCCGCGCTATGGGTCGCCCCCGGCGGAGGTGACCCGGTGAGTGGCCTCGGGAAGCTGCACTGGGGAAGGGGGGACCGGCGAGCGCGCCTCCTCCCGCCTCCAGCTCGGCCCCTCATCCCGCCCGGGCACTGACCTGTCCTAACGCTCTAGGGCAGCCGCAAGATTTCGGTCAGGGCTGCGCCGGGCTCTCAGTCCCGGCCTGGACGTCCTCATGGGGCTGGGGGCGGCCTGTCCGGGGATCTGGGCGTGAGCCTGAGAGTGGGGGGGATCCTCCCGCCTTCGGACTCTCTGGGCTTTGTAGACCGCAGCGCGGGGGTGGTTCTGGGCGTTTCCTGCTTGCGGGGGAACGCAGTTGAGAAGCCGCTGCCCTCCAGCCCCAGGAACAAAGCCGGGCATCCCTGGCACCCGGTTTCCCTTGCCGGGCCCGGAGGGCTGAGTCCGCCGCCCTGCTCTTTATACCGCAGCGCCGAGCGGCTCGGCTCCCGGGCTCGATGCGGCGGAGGCTCGGGCTCCGCTCCGGGAATGCGAGCGCCCCGGCGCCATCTGGTGGGCGCGGAGGAAAATGCCGGGGCGCGGACCCGACGCGGGATGGTCCTCTCTCCTAGCCACCCCCCCGCCCTCCCCCCCACACCC